GCAGGCAGGAGAGCCTCTCTGGAATGGACACTCTTAGGAGCAAAGTGACCTGAAACACTGACTACCACTCTCTGCCTTGCTCACAGAAGAAAGATCAAATCCTATAACCTATGCAAGAAAGTCAGCCAGGATAAAGGTAACAAATGCACTATACATTACCCAGAATAAAATTATACTGTGCAAGCTGAGCATTTCTGATCTTCTTGTTCAGCGTGCACCCAGGATCTACATCAACATCTGCCATTAATCCAGCGTCATGGAAGTGCTGCCTGACCTAGGAGAAAAAGTATTTACACTGTCACTATAGGATATTCATGACAATGAACTATTTATGACTTGTAGATTTAAGCCAGTCAAGCTTATCTGACCTCTAAAACAAAGGCACTGACATTGGCTCAGGCATTGGAAATGAGCCCACTTCAAGAAATGAAAACAGGTCAGCTAACATGCAAGTACATACACACTAAAGAACTAAGCAGTGATGTGAATATGTAATGTTTTGGGCTGAATAGTGAGTTGAGTTTGATATTGTGAAAGGCAACAGAATGGTGGAGCTTTCTGATTAGAAGGCGTTTTTTTATTTTGCAGACTATTTTATTTATGTATAATGTGCTTGAAAGAAATACAGGAGAAGGTCTGCTGGATGCTAAATATCTGAAGGCCCATCTTCATCTTTCTTACTGCTTTTGCAAGATGCACATGGCCATGGGAGACTAGAACCTGAAGGGTAAGACAGCTTTTGAGCTAGAGAGAAAAACTACATTTTCCAAAAACGAAAGCCTCACAAAGATCAGCATTTGTTGTTTAGATACCCAAAATCTATTTCAGGTCCTCTTTAAGAGACATCTACCTTCAGCAGCGCTAATTACTGTTGTAATATAAAAATGATACAATGTAATATGCAAAGACTCATAACATTTATCTGGGATAAACACTATTAATCATTAATAATCAAGTATCTCAACTAAATACAACATACTGAAAAAAAAAAGCCCCAAAATCATATACATCACCTGTTGAGCATACTCATCACACGTTGGTCCCACTGGTACCACCATTACCTGCTGTGGTGACAGCCAGAGAGGCCTTCAATAAACAAAACAAGTTTATACAGCTTTCAGTATTTTTTTACTACGAAAAATCCTCTTAACAGATAGGACTAAAATCTACACAAGAGATTCATAAAGCCAGCTGCTTAAATTGGTTTCAGAGGCAATGATAGCCCTATACTCGTTACAATTTATCTCCCAAAAAGAACTGAGTGTCTAAAAGAATTGCAGTGTGGACAAAAGTACTTTTTGAACTGAAGATTCAAGTTGTGTTTTACAACAGACAACAAATCACAATTGAGTTGTTGAGCTTATTACTAAGTAATTATGGGAAAACACTTACTTTTTATAGTTTTACTATAATCAGAGAGGTCATCCCCATCAAGTATTATACTGCAGCAGGTAAAGGAGATGACCTACATAAATGACTCGTTGCAAGGCAGCCCAGCTGCAAAAGCGAAGTTGACATGTATACACCTTGGACACACAAGCTGTATGCTGCACCTGCATGAGTGGTATCATGTAGAGGCTATCACATCTAAAATTATTTAATATCTAAGGAAGGTGGTTCAGAAGGAATTGCCCTGTGGTACGCCTACGGCATGTCTCTGTAGCAAGCAAGTAGAACAAACCCTTTTGATTCTTGCATGCTTGGGGCTACTTTCTCTTCAACACTCTTCTCTGAGTGTTTGCTCAAACTGGAATAATAAACCTACTTTTCAACGTTACCATTTGCCTCCGTAGTTTTCCGTTAGAATGGCGATCATTCTCTCCACAGATCCCAAGATAGCCCGGTGAATGATAACTGGTCTTGTCTTGTCATTACCATCATGGCTGTGAAGAAATATTTTTTTTTTTAAATATAAGTTTTTTCTTGACGTAAACTTATGCCTGTAAATGACAGGAAAGTCAGATTATATAGCAATTAAACCCACCAGCCTCTGTGCTTACCTGACAAAGGTGAGGTTAAATCTGACTGGCAGCTGAAAGTCGAGTTGGATTGTAGCACATTGGTGGTAGCGGCCAATGGCATCTTTAATCTGAATGTCAATCTTAGAAACAAAAAAGACACAAACTTTTACTACGGTTTAAGATACAAGTATGCTCCTCTGAAAGCAAACTCATTGTTTTAAGATGGAAGGTTTCACTCAATGCAGAGGAACTGTACGTGGTTTTAGATGACATACTTTTATTTCAGCCTACATTAGAACTTAAATGATTTGCAAGTTCTGATACAAAAAATGTTAGAGCTAAAAACAGGGTGAGCAAGTAGAGACATTACTTCAGCGGGGAACTACATTTAGTACCTCAGACTATTTTTTGTGAGTTTCAGTCTGGGACTTTCATGGGCCTTTTCACCAAGTGAATTCAGCAGCACAGAAGTGCAAGTGCAAGATCAGAACTGAACATGTCTCACCAAAAATGAGACTTCTTCAACCTCAAACTGGCAAACTTACACTCCTTTATTATGCAGTACTGGAATACTTTGTAGCTTATGTTACAAATTCAGGGCAGGAACATGGGATGAGAATCCTGCTGTTAAGTAGTCCACTTACCAGTAGGGATCATATTAATCAATGACACTTGTTCTAACTGAGTATCTACAGTCAAGCCTATTCTTTCTATTGCATGTTACGCTTTAATCCTCAGTATGCTTATGATACAAGTTAGACAAAGAGACAGATAGAAAACAGTAGATTTATAGTGTCCTGACCTTATTTATTTATAGCATTGCTCTCTTATTCATCATTTTACCAGTATGGCCATGTGTTGGGGCTGTGTACCTTATTTTAACTTATGTATCAAACAAACAGACCAGTGTTTTATTAACTGAAGTTCTAAATGTCTTTCAATTTTGCATTCGGAAGCCAGAGTTTATCATAGTTCAGCTACTCACCAAAGAGCTTCTTTCAAAATAAATTATTTACAACCTTCTTTAATTTCAAATCATCCAGTTATAGAGTAGAAAAAAAATGCAAGTAGTTTAAAGGTACCCTAGATGTAGAGCTTAACTTAAAAATGTAACTTCAACTAGTTTCCATTAAAACCAGCGCAAAATGCTACGTTTGCTCACCTGACTTTGGCTAGAGTGTATTAGGAGTAAGTATAAGGTTAATTAAGGTTAACAAAGGTTCCTGTAGATATTTGCCTTCTTTCAAATCAACTGAGGAAATTACTAAATCTTGTTTGCGTTTCACATTATGAATGATTAGCTGCTATGACACATTTCACCTACAACCCATAAAATGAAATTGATTCTATTAGCATACAAAGAGAGAAATCAGAACCAGTTTACTAGATGACTGAATATAGACATAAATGTAGGTTTATTATGGAAAGATTTACAAGTAATTTTGTAAGACGCTCTGTCCTTATGCGCAAAGATATTGGGAAATGTCTAGAAAGCCCTACTTAATCTGTGCAAACTGAAGAGACAGCTTTAAAAAAACCCAACAAAACCACAAAACCAATGCAAGGGGCTTTTTTAACACACCAAAACGCACAAGCAACTCAATGCAGCTACAGAACTGTGCCAGTAAAAGCAACATTTTTCAAAAATTTCTTTTACCAGTAAGTTTATTTTTGTTTTTCTCATGACTTAGGATTCACTTATCACCAAAGGATTATTTCTAATGCAGCAACTGCTGTGGTAATACAGATCTTACAGTGCCACCTTCTGTTCATGTCTCCCACTAAAACCAATCAGCTCTGTTCAAGCAGCAGACAAATAGTTTCTAAGTGTAAACTTGGTTTAATTAATGAAATGTGTATTAAAGCTATGTGAAAACCAGGATCACAGAGTAGTATTTCTCTCTCAAGTATGTAGAGTTTATATATCTGGAAAAACAGAAAATTTCAGCCATACAGCATCTTAAAATGGTATTAGGTAACTATAAAAAAAAATCCCCTCTCCCTAATCCCAGCTCCTAACAATCTCAGCTTGTACCAGGTTGTCAGTTTAAGAATCAGTTTTGTTCTATATCCTCCAGCCAAACCTAAACAGCACCAATGCTTTAGAAACGCATACTGACATTGAAAAATTTAGTTATAGTGTTACATTGGAAGGAAATGTGCAGGACAGTAAGTAAAATATAAAAGTTGTCTTTACCAAGAAGATCATGAATAAAACCCAAGAGCACCACCATACTATTTTCTCCCCCTTGCTCATAAGAAGATATGAAAAACATTATATATTAACAGCGTTCAGTATCCACCTGTATTTGTTTAACTAACTCAGAGCAGAATGTTAACTAGATAGAGACTTTGTCTTGGTCAGGTATGTATTTGAAGTCATCTGGCAAACATTCTGCACAAAGAGATGCCCAACACATCTCTTTCTGGGGAAAGCGACATTTAGCATCATTTTGTAAACACATGAAGACTTTGGGTTCTTTTCTGTTCATCCGCTATACTGCAAAGAACAATATTTGCATGCTACCCCTACTGCCAAGTTTATGGTAGTATCAATGGAAAGCAAGGAATTGTGTAACTTTTGTCTGCCTCATCCAAACAGAATTAAAAGCCCAACCCAGCTAGGGGTTAGCAACATACTAACCTTAGGTCCATAGAAAGCTCCATCGCCAGGGTTTAACTCCCACTTCTCACCAAAGTCATTGAGGCTGTTTTCAAGTTGCTAGAGATAAAGGACACACACATTCAGTGTTTCTCAATCATTTGCTGTCTTTCCATGTTACAGCATCAGGTCAGCCTGCTGCTACAGATATGTGACACTACCAGTTCTCAGTACTTCTCAGTTACTGCTGCAACTCGTTTATTTTCTGAAAAAGGAAAGTTTCGGAAGGGCCCCAGCTAAAAAAAAAATCCAGTCCAAATTTAAACAAAAAAAATTAAAATTTAAACAAACAAACTTAATGCATTCATTTTGGAAGAAGCCAAACAGATAGCATTAGCTAAGATGCAAGAAATTTTTATGCTAGATCCAAAGTTTGTAGATAATATTGAGAAAGGATGCACCCTGATACACCTAATGTATATTTCTGCCCTATCTTCTCCCCAGCACTGCACCCTCAGGGGCTAACCCTATCCCTTTAATCATGAAAGCAACCTGGCTTTTGGAAAATGGCTCTAAGTCTTATTACTGGGGCTGCCAGAATTGGTTCTCTTCCTTTTTTTTTTTTTTGTAAATTATCAAAAATATACAAGGAGAGAGAGAAGGAGAGAAAGGTAATTTGATTCTGACATGGAGATTGCTTCTGTATGGAGAGTAAGCTGTTTACAGCAGCCAGACTGAATCGAAGACAGTTATTAAAGTTATATTGCTCATGCCCAGCTGTCACGGTACCTCCCAGAAGGCAATATGTTCTTACAGGACTTCCAGCTGCAGCCTTGCTTTCATATAAAAAGTTAATAAAACTACTGTTTACCTTTTCAGCTTGATTCCACACTTCAATATCTCCCAGGTACTTTTCAGGACGAGTGGAGAGATTCAGTTTAAAGGAAAATCCAAAGACATCATACACAGTACGCAAGAACTGCAGACAACTCTTTATCTCCTCTTCAATCTTTATGAGAATAGAAATAAAGTCTCAAATATGGAAAAATCAGTTAATCTGATTTTAATACCCAATTTCATTTATCAGCAGCCCATACCTGCTCCATAGCACAGAATATGTGAGCATCGTCCTGCTGGAACCGACGTACTCGAGTGAGTCCTGTAAGAGCTCCTGACAGTTCATTGCGATGCAGAACACCAAAATCAGCCAATCGTAATGGCAGCTCACGCCATGATCTTGGACGATGATCAAACATAAGGCTGAAGGAAAAGTTTATTACTTGAAGCTCATCCAGAATCAAAATTCTGCAAAGAACAGCCCATGAGAAGCAGACAGTACCTAAGCAGATGCCTATAATGCCAATCATGTAATCTGAATACAACCATCATTCACATCTAGTTTTGTCAGGAAAACAAATGCAGATATCCTTTTGTAGCTAGTAGGCTTCCCCCACCTCACAGAGAGAAGATTAAACAGCTCCTAAAACTGAGTATTAAAACCTAAGAGCCTAAATTGACATAAAATTGACAATGCCCCAGTATCTGTTTTGGACATCCAGGTTTTGTAGTACCAAGGTAAGCTTCAGGTCTAAAACACAGTCACTGTAATGATGGAAAAATGACATTTCTCAGCATCTCAAGTAAACAGAGCATGTAGACAACAAGACTCATAATTACATCACTCCTGACAGCATGTGACATCTGGATACCCGAAGATAGCCATCTTTATAATTAAGCAGGCAAAAGAAACAGGATTTTTTTTTTTGAATCAACATCACCTTTGGTAAACTGCATTTGCTACATATTTACCAGTGTCCCGGACAGTTCATAGGCTTCAGAGCAAAAATTTCTTTCTCCACTTCAAAGGAAAACATGTTTTCACTGTAATGCTGCCAGTGCCCCGAAGTCATCCATAGTTTGCTGTTGAAAACATTGGGAGTGACAACCTCCTGGAATCCACGTTTTCGATACTCACTCTAAAACAGGAGACCCAGTATGTAAAATAACTAATAAAGCAAACAAAAGTAACGGTACTCAGTCTTCAATCTGCAGCCATCAAAACATACAAATGCTGCCCTATAGAAGTCCACAACTCGAGAAGGGAAGAGTAGGGAAGAGAAAAATTCAAGTTGGACGTGCCAGGATGCATCCCTTCCACCAGCACCACCCTTCCCCAAGCAATTTCTCTGTAGTAAGCAAGAAGAACAAGTTTCCTCCCTGCAAGCAAAGCAGCAGTCTCTAATTATTCAATGACACTTGTTAGTACATTGCAGCCCAAATATACAATAAGACAGACTTTAAATATTATAACAGGAAGATCAAGATTTTTTTTTCTACACATAATTTCATAACAAATAGTTCTACAAGGCCAAATTTAGTGAGTTTATTAAAACAAACCAATATGCATCAGTGGAGCAGCTGTAGTGTGAGCTTAGCTGTACTATTAGACGTCAAAGAATTTATATTATAAAGCATCGTTATTATTGCTTTAACTGCAGGTATAAAGTATTGATAAAAACATAACTTAGGGGAGATTGTGACAAAACCAATCCGAAGAAACCAGGTTTCTTTAGTTCCGTGGTTTACAGGACTAAGAGATTAAACTAACTTGAAATGAAGTGCTGTTAACACTGTTCCATGTAATATGCTGTTACGTATTTTTCTAAAATTAAGCAATTTCTTCTATTAGAAGATTTCCAAAAGACCTTACTTACCCGGATAAACTCAATTAATGTGTTATAAATGTAAGCTCCTTTTGGCAAGAAAAAACAGCTACCAGGGCTGAGCTCATGGAAGAAAAACAGTTCTTGGTCCTGCAGAAAAATAATATTTGAAAAACTTAGTATTTGTACAATAGCTCTTTCACTTAACATTCACAAATTAATTACTACTGACTGGGCATCACTAATCAAAGTTAAAAAAAAAAAAAAGCTAAAAAAAAAAATCATTATCAATAGATCAGATGCATTTTCACTAGTATTTATATCTCCATCAGTACTTACAGGGGAAGGAGATTGTTCAGTTTCCTGTTTCATTACTGATGCTCCAAAACTTTATTTTTATATGTAACTCCTAACCATGCCCCCACAGCTCCCTTTGTACACTGGTAAGTAATGTTTAGTTCTGCTTCTGCAGCACTCTAATTATTTGCACATAAGCTGAATGTGTGAACTGTAGTTGGCTAATGTTGTGATAAACTGTGCGCATACAGTGAATTCTTCTGCATAATTTCCTGATGTCCTAGCAGCAGACCTTGTAACAATGTTCAGGACTATCAATTATCTGGCAGGGTTTCCATCTAAAAAACAAAACCAAAAACCAACCAACAAAAAAAACATAGAAATATATTATGGATTCTGAAATCATGGAGAAGAAAAGAACTGTGAGTGAATAGGCTGCAGCAAACTGCATAGGAAGGAGCATTGCCTGCAGACTGAAGTGTTCATATTTTGCAGACTGAAGTGTTCATGTTCTGTTCTGATTGATCAATGGAATAAGGATGTCATCGTGTCTGAAACAGTGAAAAGTCTAAAGAGAAGTTATTTGCTTTAGGATTTTTGATGCTCTTCAAGAGTACCTGACTTTGCAACTCGACTGAAAATACAATTGTTTCACATCTTGATTGGGGCAGCAAGTATACACTGTCTTCGAGATGCTTCTAGTTAAGGGGCTACATCCGCACAGTTTGTGAAAGACATTGCCAGAAAAACTGTCTCACCCGCCCAATTTTTCTGTGATCTCTGTTTTTAGCCTCCTCCTGGAATTTCTCCCATTCCTTCAGCATTTTTGCATCTGGGAATGAAATTCCGTAGATGCGCTGTAGGGATTCCATATCAGCCTTGCCTTCCCAATAGGTAGAAGAATTCTGCATGCAAGAAAGAAAGGCAACGTTGAAGAAAAGCAGGAGCCTCCACATTTTACTACTACTGCCTGCTATGAAAAGGCATGCAATTATTAATAAATCACTATACTTAATGTAGAACAACTAAGGCATAAGGAGAGTTTTAATCTTATATTCAGAGCACTGATTAGAAAAATCCAGTAAGAATAAGTGAACAGAATATCTAAAAATGGTTTCAAGCTCTCTCGTCTTTTTCTTAAGCATATTTGCTCTCTTTGCACCCATCCTATTTCAACTGTTTATTTACACTCAGCCATAACCATCAGCTGAGCAAAAACTATAAACTCTAATTTATACAGTTGAACCAAGCCTTAAGCCACACTCACATTCCTACCTGTGCTTGAAGTGCAGGCCCTGGACACCTAGTTGGGCTTCACACCATTTGAACATCATACTAGCACACAAACCTTTATCAATTTGTTACACTGAATTTTTGGCCAGGTTACCCATTTCACGGTACATTCTTGGATAAGCCACGAAGTATTGCCCAAAGACAGCAACACATTTTCAGTGAAAACATTTGTCTAAGGCAGTTTCAGCACTTACCTTATGAATTTTTATGGTCTTTATCTTGCCAGTATGTCTGACATGAGGCCCTCTGCATAAATCTATCAAGGGACCACACCTAAGAACAGGAAAACATTCATTTGGTATATTTCATCGTAGAAAGACATATCCAGTAATATTATGATGCATGCATAATTACCTGTATACTGTTGTAGTTGGAGTATTGACCTTCTCATTCAGGATGCGACACTTGAATTTATTATACTGAGAAGAAAAGCAGCACACATATTTGTTAACTCCTTGTTAAGCAAGAGAACTGGCCGACATTTTAAGTTATTTGCAAACCTAATGCTATGCTGCATCAAAAGAGGGTTATAAAAGACAGACAGATAGTTAAGCAGTGGAGCAAGCTGCCCAGAGAGCACGTTGCGCAGTCTCCATCCTTACAGGTTTTGAAGGCCCAACTGGACAAGCCCTCAGAAACCTGGTCTGGCTTCAGTGTTCACCCCATGCCCTCTGCATGAGATTGGACTGGAGACGTACAGAGGTACCTTCCAACCTGAATGGCACTATGATTCCCTTGATGCCCTAACACTGAAAACTGAGTAACGTCTATCTCAATGCCAGAAAATTATTTGCTGCTAGGTACTAAAGAGAAAGGATCAGCTTTTAGTGTTGCTTGGACTTTCTCAGAAGTCCTCATTCTAAAAAACATTTTTTGAAGCTTTCTGAATGCATCAGCACATGCAGTTATAGCATCACCACAGCATTTTACTAACAGCCAATAAAATATAAGCATATAACTGCACGTAATATATTGCAAATTTACATCTGTGGGAAATAAATGAAGAATGTGGCTTCAAAGATTCTACCAAGGTCACCCAGGGGAAGAATGAGAATTCTTACAGTTGCAGAAAATCTAATGCACATTCCCGAGAACCTAAGAATTACAACTTCACTCATTTTTTTGTTAAATATCACAAATGATCTTATAAGAACATATCACCTTAAGAAGTTAATTTGGTAGACCTTCCTCTACCCTAACAGAACATGCAGCTGAAGTTACAAATACTTAAAGAATAACTGCACCATGCTAGAAACAACCTTTTAAAACAGCCTACCTTAAACATTTCAAGTAGCGTTTCCTTCTTAACTTCCAGTCTTTCAAAGGCTTGTTTTTCCTTCATTATCTTTTTGCATAATGTTTCCAAAGCAGAGAAGTCATTACTAGACACACCCCTAAAATAAACACACACAAAAAAGTGAATCATTCTTGCTTTCACTTGCAATTTCTGATCGAGTTGCAATGCACTAGCCTGTTGATGGGACACATCGCAAAGAACAAAGCAATCTGCAGTACTGCAGATGACTTTGTTCTGGGAACAAGCTGATAACAAAAATTTTGCTGTGACTGCCATCTCTCTGCTACTAAAAAGAAAAATACAAAACCTACCCTTCCTCAAGGAACATGTCATAATAAAATCCATTTTCTATTGGTGGGCCATAGCACAAACAGCCACCATAGATTCGCTCCATAGCTTCACCCATTATGTGAGCACTTGAGTGCCAGTATACCTAATGGAGGAAAAAAAGAGGAGACCAGTCTGAATATGCACAATGCATTTCTGAGTATTTTATTTAAAACCTTTTCTGAAACGTGCGCTTTTAAGGATACCTGATGCAGATCCCACATTAGAGCAGTCTGCAGAGCAGAAGTGACCTGCCCAGCAACAACACTCTCATCCTAAGCACCAATATTTCCAAAATCTAACACTGAAAATTGTTTACAGCCTGGTAGCAAATAATTCTTATTTTCAACTACTGCTGAAATGATTCAATTATTGTCAAGAAGTCAGGAAACTAATTCAGCAACTTTTTTTTTCTATGAACTTCAATCAATCAGCTCTGCATAAAGACCAAAAGGTGCACTTTCAACATAAGGCTGTGGTCCTAATCCGAAGATTTTATGCCTGGGAAACCCTGCACTGAAGTAGAACAGTTCATAAAGTTAAAAATCACACTCCATCTTGTAGTAGACCTGAAGTTTTGACAAATTAAAACCAAATCTATAGGACTTCATTCTGCTTTTATTTGCACAGAGCAGAAAACATAAATCTCACAGCAGCCATCGTTTAGCCAACACGAAAACCCTAAGTTTGAATGCAAGACCTCTGTGATGAGTTTGACTAACAGCTTGTTGTACCAAATGATTTTTTCTAAAGAGAGTATGTACAAATTTACTGGATATCCACACTCGTCCAAATGAGTAGCCAAAATAAAGGACGTACTTTTGCACATTCACAGTAAAAGAGCTGCCTACCCAGTACTTTCATGATTGTACACAGACAGTACTGTACTCAGTATTGTTTTCGAAGTCAGTGCTGAAGAGGTCAGTTCAAAAGACCTACTTGACACTAACATGAAAGTTGCAAATATAAAACTTTAATGAGAGCAGACTTGACATAACCTACAGCAACTTCTAGCAGACTTGGCTACAAATACACAGCAGTCTGCAGTACCACATCTCCCTTGTAAGGAACTACGAAAAAATGCAGATGTACCTACACAGCAAACCTGTTCCTGTCTCATCTTCTGAACACAATAATGATGCAAATAACTACTTGAGGCTGAGTTTAATGCAAATCCAAGGACAAACAAACTTTGGTAAAAGATACTCACTGCTTGAGCCTCTTCATCTTCAAACTTAAGCAGCTCCAGGGTACAATCCTCCTCCAAAGGACGGTCTAGATCCCAAACCATCTTGTTCACTTTAGCAATAACAGTGTTGTCAGCTAAGCCCTGACTACAGAATAAATACATGGTATATAATCTTTTGAAATCAGCAAGTAGAAGTTCCCCAAATTTGCCCTCCATGTTGAGTAAGATTTTCAGGAGTGCTCAGAAAAGGTACAATGTCATAAATAAATTCCAAATAGCAGTCTAGCCAGTCTTGAACATTTATGAAAATCCTACTTACACCTCAGAGATGAGGGAAGAAAACTGTGCTGTATACTCAACATTCATTAACATACTTGACTTAGAGGCAGCCACCTCAAAGTACTAACCTGACTTCAAAATCTTATTGCAATGAAAGACAGAGCTTCTCTTTTAAGAATTATCAAAAACCACTTCTGATGTAGTAACTTTACAGTTTTGTTTCCACTAGGCAAAAAACCCTTTCCTTGATTCCAAATCACAAAAGCAAAAAAGGTTCCAATGACAAGGCACCTAAGCATGAAAAAAAAAGGCATTTCACCTCTAGGAATCACCCAGTTTTTGTAATTTTAACTGTTAGGGTGTCCAGTGTGCATTGTTCAATTCTGCTCCACAGCAAGTCTGAGTAACTGGGAGATGTGCAATGCTCTTTTGGATGGGTATTTCCCATGCAACTAAGAATGCAGTTAAGTGAAAGATACTCATACTGTTAACTCTCTCTGAAATCATCTGAAACATCACCCAGCAGTCATCTTCCCCAGGCTGATGTGAATGAGGTTGCATGTGCTAACATTCAATCTGATACAGTAAATTTATTAGCAAATTTGTTCTTAATGCAACAACAGTACTTGCAGGGAAAAATATGCAAGTAATGTGTGACTAAAAGATCTCAACTATATTCTTATTTAATTGTAGAAACTGTATCTTCATGAGGCAAAAAAATTACACTCCAAAACTCAAACCCTATTGATTACCTCCAGTTTATTATATACACGATGCCTTGAGAAGAGTTGAGATAAACGACTAACAGAGAAATTATACGTTACCCATACCCTCACAGCCACAACCTGCAGACATAGAGCTGTCTGAAAATGATTGAGTGTATCACAAACTACAATCATACCTAATTCCACAAGCGATTTGATAAGGAGTAGTCTTCCAAGATTCAGCATCAACCTGCTTGCCATCGGGTAATGTAACTTTAATGGGTTTACTGTCATTTGCAGCTCTTTCTGCAAGGAGTGCATCATGTTCAGCTTTAAGTTTATTGTACATCTCTAAACGCTCATTGATAAATGCAGGCCAGGGATTCAGCTATGTATAATGAATAAAGAGAGAGGAAAAAAATATTAGAGTAATCTAATATCACATTATGTCAATAATGCAAACAGAATGGATATATTTTTCACAAGCAGCTATGTGACCATATCTATGTATGTGCTATATCTAACCATCATTATTATGACAGATTAATTATATAGTGTTGGTTACTTAGTAATAAGACTTCAGCTTAATGACAATTATTACTTTGAAATGTACCACTGTACACCTGTTTAATAAACTACACATATGTTAATAAGCTACTACACAGTTTATTAAACACCTGTTCAATAAGCTACACAAGGACAAAAATAAATTTGAAAAGACTGCAGAAGTTCAACATAAAAATATATTTTTGTTATTAGGTCAAAAAACTGAGCAAACACCTCTACTCTGAGCCACCCGGAGAGGAACTGACTCCAGCCTCCACGTCATACAATGACATCAGGGCTATCAGCTTCAGCATAATCGAAGTTACACAGCTATGCAGTTGGCACAGCATTAGTGCTGGCTAGCAGCTGGCCCTTTCCGTGCACAGTCAGAGGGATCTGTGTTTACCCACCACGAAGACCAAAAAGGCAGAGCACTTTAGGCAGGCTTTCCTCATCCTAGAGATCTGCTGCCCACCTCCTGGGGCAAACAGAGGCACAGTGAAAAGAGCAACTGTGGAAATCAGAGCCACTCTCCAATTACACCAGTACAACTTGGTGTAAAATGCAACAAAGTCACTTCATGGCAAACTTCAGTAAAATAAGAAATAGTGGGAAAAGGAGTCATTGTAACGCCAGATAAAATGCTTCAGAGGGATGAACTGCATCAGTACACAAGACAGCAAGCAGGAGACCGCATCTTTCAACCCCCCGTGGCCCAAGGGCAGCTCACCTCCATCCGCCCTCCATCGCCGGCCCCCTCCTTCATTTTCTTCTTTCCGCAGTCTGCCTTTTTTTCCTCCCCAGCATCTACCTGAGGAGGGCAAGCACCATTTCCTCATTCTCCAGCAGTCGCTCACACCTACGGCGCTTTAACCCCCCTCAGCCCCACACACCAGGGAAGAGACCCGACCCCTTCGGCCCGGGAAACCACAGCCCAGCTCCCTGCTCTTTTACCTTCAGGTAAATCCCACCGCCTTCCGACCCTGCTGCCCCGCAGCTGGGCAAACCCGGTATAACGCTGAGGGGGAAGAGGCCTAGCTCCCTCCTGCCGCCAGCACCCGTCTCCTGACAGGGCCGCCCCCCCTCCAGGCCTGACGC